TTTTAAAAAGAACCAGTAAAAACTATTTATATATTTGCTTGAGAAGTTCCCTGCTCTCATCCTACACTAGATTGACGATTTCTGTGTTTCTCCTTTCAGGAGCATGACTAGAATAAGTTACCAGCTGAATTTCTCTTTTATTTTCCTCCAAGTTTTAATTTAAGTCAGGAGAAGTGTGGCTGAGCTTCTTATTTGAGGGAATGGTTGTCTGGCACAGGACCCAGGCTCTCTCTGACTCCAGAGCTGCACATCCCATATTGTTCCCATCCCGTTGGGATTGGGAGGCAGGATGTGAGGGCTGGTGACAGCGAAGTGCTGGTGACAAGGCTGGGGACAGCAGGTGGAACAGAGCCCTGTTTGCCTCCCACATGAGGAGTGTTACACTCATGATGCCATGACACTGATGGCATCACTCCTTGGTGCCAGACTGAAACTTGGCATCCAGGTTGAGAAATACAGACTATTTTGTCTGTAAAACTTGTTTTTAGTGGCCAACCTCCCATGTCACTGAACTCACACCGTGGTGGGTGAACGCAGGGTTTAGTACAGGAGAGAATTTTGGAACTCAGGACCATAAACCCATGAGTTCACACCTAGAAATTAACTTCATTCCCCTCAGACTCAGTGGTGTGTCCTGTGGGCAAAGAAAGGATTTATTGGTCCAGGGATTGAAAATGAAATGGCTGAAATCTCCTTTCCTCCTGGGCCAGAGCAGCCGTGGAAATTTCCCCCCGTGTGCCTTTCCTTCCCCTGGCCCCGCTGCCTGGAAGTGATGAGCTTCCCCCAGCCTCTGTGGCTGAACTGAGCTTTAACAAGGTTCTTCTGCTCACTTTGCCACACCCTGTGGCCTGACTCTCACCTCCACATCTCAGCTGATATGAGGGTTTTCAGGAATTTGAATGTTCCAGCGTCTCTCCGGACGCCGAGAGCTTCGGGAGGTCTGGAGCTGGTTAAGGCATCTCATGTGCCACTGGGAGAGCTCTCCTCCTGCCCCTCTGACTTCCTCACCAAACCACCCCAAATCAGCAGGACAACATCCCAGAAAACAGATTCCACTGCCACGCTCTGCCAGGAGCTGCCAAACACCAGTGGGCTCCTTCTGCCACCGAGTGCAGGGAACATGTTACAGCAAAAAGCAGCTTTTCCTGATTTTCCCACCTTTTTGGCAACAACTTTTTTTTGCAAAATATACATTGGAAAATTTCAAATTTTATTTCTGCTCAGCCTTGACTGATCTCTGAGTTAATTTCTTCACTGGCAAACTTCTCATTCCTTCCCCCCCCCTCTTTTGCTTTCAGTCTCTCCTGCAGTACTTCCTCCACTTTGGAATCATTTGAAAGCAACAAAGAAAATCAAGCAAACTGGGAATTTTTCAGGTTTGGAGAAATTTTGAAGGGTTACAGTCAGAGAAGACAATTTAAAACAAAAAAAAGGGAAAATAGAATTTAAAAATTACATTCAGTTACAAAGGGGAGCAAAGGCAGGAAAAAGAGGGAAAATCGAAACAGTGAAATATTTTAAATCATTTCCCAGCAGTGTGAAATCTTTCAGATTTGCCCAGTTTAAACCTGAAAGAAGCAGCACAGACACATATAAACAGCAAAAGGATGAAGTCCACTGGGATTAAATAATAAGGAAAATTAACTTTTTCCATCCAAGCGACCGAGGGAAGCAGAAGGTCCTTAGGCCTGCAATGCTCTTGGCAGCGTCAGCAGCCACCCAGACCTGGGCACAGGCTGAGGGGTTGGGGTCCAGGCTGTTTCTAACCATATTCCCTGTATTTCAGGACATTGGGCTGAGCTAAAAAAACCCTAGATTTCCCATGAGAAGGTGGAAGCTGCTCCCACACCACCAGTGTCCCCGTGCCAGGGCAGGCAGGCACCACTCACCCAGTGCTGTCACCGACGGCCCCCTCTGCAAACCAGGTCTCCCCACGGGTCCCTGAGGAGCAGGAGCTGGGACTGGGAGGTGAGGGAGCAGCTGTCCTTGTCCCCCAGGGGTGGTGGCAGAGCTACAGGTAGGTGGTGGCCTCGTGGCT